GAAGTATGCATTTAGGGTTACATTTGAGAGTTTATGGCCAAGTAATACAAGCCAAATGAACTTCAAATGAAACCTAAATTAACCCTAGAGCATACTTGGTGACCAAGGATGGAATCTTTAGGTTTGGTTAAGCTACATCTAGGTGCATGATAAGACCATGCAACCTAGGTGGCCTCCACTTGAGCACACCAAAGGCTAAGGATCTCGGCCAAATCCAGAAAATATTTTCAAGATGCAATTAAACAAAAATCAAAAGGTTCGCACAAGCATAACTAGGAATGATGAACAAAACAAGAACTACACATTACTACTAGACATGAATTCAAAATAAAATGGACTCAACATGCAATGACCGAATAAAATTTCAATTATGACTCAAATAAATCAAAAAGCTCATAGGCAGAAAAATCCTAATAGGCAAAAGAGAATGGAGCATGATTCATGGAAGCATATAGTCATAAAGCATAAATGAATCATTCAAGCACATGATACTAGATCCATCAATTTTTAAGACAAAAATTAGATCTAGGAAAGAGTAAACTCTAGGTGAAAAAAACTCAAGAATAAGATGAACACAAGATGAACACAAGAAGAAGAAACTTATCTCTTGAAGAACTGAATGCTCTTGATACCACTTGATGAGATTCCACTTGGAAATCTCAAGAACACTTCAAGCCTCTCGGAATTCCTTAGAAGAACATCAAGGAAGAAGACTCCAATTGGCTTCAATGTGACCTAGGCTTGCTTCTAGCCAAGTCCGGAGAAGAAAGAGTTCCTAACTCTACAAGGAGAGGAGCTCAAGTAGGGTAGAGTTTAGGAGGTGTGACTTTCAGAGAAGGAGATTTCTAAAGAGAGAAAGCTCATCAATTAATTCCAAAAGTAGCTACAAGTCTCGGCCATATAGAATATATAGGGAAAATTAGGTCAAAGTGAACTATGGGTTAGCCTAAGGTTAAGTGAAACCATGGTATGGTTACTTAACCTTAGGCGCCCAAAATTTGAATTCAAAATTCAAATTTTGGGAGCCAAACCCGGAACCTCCCATGTGCACCTCATTTGGAATGTGATTTGTCTTCCATTTGAGTTGCATTTCGGTCACACCATGTGCATGTGTGCACATGGCCGAAATGCATATCAAATGCAAAGCTAATTACATTCTAATGACAATTCACATGCAACCTTAATTAACCCTAATTTCAAATGACCTTCAAATGAAATGCCTAACCTAAGTGGCCGAAAATACAAGGCCCAAAAAGAAATACAAGGCACCAAGGCCCAATCCTACACTAACCCTAATCTAATGGGCTTGAGACAAAACCCAACAAAATAAAGTGATGGGTCTTTCTTGGGCTTGGGCCCACTCTTCATGCATCCTTCTTGCCATAGCCCTAGTAGTTGGGCCCTTAGCCCATGGGTCTCCTCCATCACAACAGCCCATACAACTGACAATTAATAACAGAGCACCAAACCAAGTACCGTAAACAAGAAGTTTTCCTATTATATATGGTCAGTTACATATATCAAACAAGAGTTAATTTTCTGTACACTGCCGGTGTAAAATTTTTTTATACTGACAACCAATTATATATTTTAATTGTGTCATGTCACTGTTAAAAGTAAATGTGTTTATAGTGACATGACACAATTAAAAGATATAATTAGTTGTCAATGTAAAAAAACTTTATATTAGTAGTGTATAAGTGATTAACTCATCAAACAATGCAGTTATGCTATCTCAAACTCAAGTTTTCGGAAAGGTTATTTACCGCAATGTCTTACTTAATAATGGTGTGGTTTCACTTTGATTTTTTCTTGGGCTACCTTCATCTCAGTTTTATTTGGAAAGAAATGATTAAATTAATCTCTAAAATTGTATGTCGCTCTTAATTTAATTTCTAATTCTAATGAAACTAAAAAAAGTTTATAAAAATGCAATCCACTACTCAGTTGAATCCCTCTAATAAATAAGATCCATTTTCTTAAACAAAAGTGTTTAAGTGACACAATAATGTTAGAGTTAATCACTTATACACTGCTAGTATAAAGTTTTTTTACACTGACAACCAATTATATCTTTTAATTGTACTATGTCACTATTTTTATAGTGACATGACACAATTAAAATATATAATTGGTTGCTAGTATAAAAAAAACTTTACACTAACCGTATATAAATGATTAACTCATAATGTTATGTGACATACATGTGATACATATATATAGAATGACACATGTCACGTAAATGTGCCACATGACATGACTATAACAATATTATTTTAATTCTTTAAATTGATATTTAATATCACTTAGTCATTGAAATTGTACTTCAATATCATTTTAGTCCCTAAAATTTGAACTCAAATCACTTTAATCCTCAAACATTGATAAAATTTTATTTTAGTCAAGTAATTATGACTTTAATATTTTCACAATAAAATAAATAATTAAATTAATATTGTAAATAGGATGATATATATTTTCAAATCATATTAAAAATTTGGTATTTAACATTAGTATGAATTTCTATATATAAAACACGAATCACTATATTACAATAAAGCAATTTTAGAGGATTTTTCTTCGACGAAAATGTTTTTTATGAATTCTTTTAATTTCATATATAATTTATTTTTATTTATCATAAATATTTATGAGTTAAATTTTAATATTTAAAATAAATTATCACTAAATAAAATAATCTTGTGTTACAATATAAATATTTATCATAAATCTTAAAAATAATTTATATATTTAAAAATATCTATTTATTCAATTTTTATATATAATTTATATATTCAAACATAATATTTATTTATATACATATCTTGTGTTAAATTTTAGTTATATATAATAAACATGTAACATGTGCATACATTGCACATGCTAAAATACTAGTTTTTTTTTTAATATGCTATATCTCTTTTTCTTCTTTTATCCATTTCATTTTTTAAAATACACAAATAAAAATACTTTATGATTTCTCTATATTTATATTTTTTTTTCATAATTAATTCTCATATATAAATTAATATTATTTCTAGAAAGATTAATATATTTAACAACATATTTTAAAAAATGGTACATACTATATTATATTTATTCTCATTTTTTATTTTTCTCTTTTTATTGTTTAGTTTGATGGTCCTCTAATACCTTCTAAGCACAATTTTATTATATTTATCCCCGTATGTACAATACTAACATAATTATTTATTTTATTATGTAATATTTAAGTCATAATTAATTACCTAATTAAAACAAAATGATAACATTTAGGGACTAAAGTAACATGAATTAAAATTTCAAGGATTAAAATGACATTGAATTACATTTTTAAGGACTAAAGTCACATTGTATTACAATTTCATACCAAAATGACATTGTATTACATTTTTAAAGATTAAAATGTTATTGTATTATAGTCATATATCATGTGATACATATACTCCATGTGATACACACTCATGTGATATGTGTCACTCCATATGTATCACATGCATGTCACATGACATTATCGCACGTACGCACTTTTATTCAAGAAAGCACATCTTATTTAGTGGAAAGACTCAAATGAGTGTGACAAATTACATTTTCAATGACTTTTTTATTTTATTTTATTAGAATTAGGGACTAAATTAAGAATGACATACAATTTTACTCTTCATATTGTGGTATTTAGTGGTCTTTTCCTCACATGACCAAACTTTGACCAAACTTTGACGGGATTTAATAATCCTTTTCCTTGGTGTTACTCTTACTTTCTCTCTAATATTTTGTTAAATCCCCATGACGAAACAGCACCTTCGAAACTCTCATGTAGGATGGGGGAAATTGAAAGAAGAAAAAAACAAGTTTTCAACTAAAAACATTGTAATAATAAAACATTATATTAGTAAGCTATAGATGAAATCAACATCCAGTTTGAGCAAACCCAAAAGTAATTACCCACTCCAGGTAATATGTAACAAAACTCTTGATTATATTGGCTCACGAAAGATTAAAAACATTGAATAAATATGCTCCTCCACTGGTTGTAACTTTTACCTGGATTGTTATGATCTCTCCCTTGGTCCGTTTGAGTTGGTTTGGCTCACTCATTGCTCTCAAATTCCATGTATAGCTGGTTTTCTCTCAGATTCACTTGGTTGGTGATGTTTGGTTTTCCTTTTTCTGTGATCTCTGATTGCAATGTCTCAGTATAGGATGCAGAAAAATGAGCTGCAGTGCTAAATTCCTTCAATTTGAATACGATATGAAGCATCTGGAATATGTTATTAAATTTTCAAAATAATAAAAATATCAAGGAAAATTCAATACTTTTCAATATCAGCATGATAATGTTAACAATAAACACAGTTAGATTTAACATACAAAATAAGGTAAGTTAAAAGTCAAGAAGCATAGCACAAATAAAACGATGACCAATGCATTGAAGTTGTAATCACCAAGTGTGTTCCATAAAATAACTCAACGGAAGAAGCAGCATACAATTCCTAAAAGTGATACCTTATTTTCATGACGACCATCTTAGTAACAGGCCTTCTTTGTAAGGAAGGCATGCCATTATTCTGTGCCCAATCAATAGCCCTAGCCAATGATCATTGTCAACAGTTGCAACATCATTCACATTTCATACAATAGTAGACTAGCACATCCTTCTACATCATACTTGCACCATCCCAGTCCCCCTCCTTCGATTGTTCCCTTCCTTGCATCTGCAGATCTTATAAACACAGTCACCGATCATTTTCCTTTCCACTCATCAACCCAACATTACCAATAGCTCATCTCTTTCTGTAGAGGCAAGACTCCATGCTTTATTGACTATTGCACAGCCAATTATTTCTAGAGCCAAGCCTCAATTCTCAAATGCACATAATTGATTTTGATTAAGAAAATCCGGGAAGTGAAAGGAAGGAAAGGCTACCCAACAAAAAACTAGGCATTAAAAAAGCCATCCAACAAATTAAGAGCAGGTAGGGGGAAAAAAGGCGAGGGGATGGGGTAAATGCTTGAAACACTCTTTCCAATTTACTTCATAATAACAAACTAAATATGTCAGGAGGTGAAAACTGCAAAAAAATAAAAAATAAAAAATAACCACACTAGCATATGAGTTTCATCAGAGGCATAAAGAAACAAGTAACTAAGAAATAAGAATCATTCCAGATGCAAGCTGAGTTGTAACCTTTACTAACTAGGAATGGTACAAGTTGGAGGAGCAACAATAATATTAAAAAAAAATCATATCCAGTTATGACAACACGCCTCTCCTATCCAAGAATGATATAACATGGAGATGTAATAAAAATTAAATCCCCAGAATAACAGCTCAGTCAAAAATTCTGTCCCCAGTTGAAAATAGCAAGAATACAAAGGAACTAAAAATGCATAAAAATCCAGGAATGAAAAACACCGCTCTCCAGCTCTCCGGACTTGAAAGATCAGAATTAGAAGCCTTGGCAGCTTCAAGAAGTTTCCCGGTGAGGTCAACGCCGACAATGCCAGCTAACGTACCGGCAGTATTTGAAACACCCATCACTATTCCGGCATATCTGGGAGCAACATCCATGTGGTTCACTGCAAAACCGGCCCTGCCAAGCGCCAAGAAACCAAGAGCCACAGAAGAACAAAAAACAGCACCACCAGAAGTTCTGAAACTGGGAATCACAACCAGGGCAAGAGAAGCAACCAAAAACCCTACAGTGTTCAAGAATTTCCTGGTTTTAGTGACAGACAATATTCTCCTGGTGATCAAGTAATCGGCGACGACACCCCCGATGTTGGAGAACAAGAACATATTAAGATAAGGCATCATTTTGGAAGAACCCATATCTTGAAGGCCAAGCTGAAGGCCCAATTCAAAGTAGGTCGGGAGCCAGTTCATGAGCACATATAAAGCATAGTGAAAGGTGAAATTGTTGACAACAATGGCCCAAACAGGGAAGCTGGTTAAAATTTTGAGCCAGGGGATTTTCCCTGAGACTACCTTTTTGTTGTGAGTGTCAATGTCAATTTTCTTATTGACTGGCAAAACCGATTCCCCAACACCAGAGGCAGAGGATTTGGGATCAGTGGCGTAAATGAACCAAAGCAAAGACCATACAGCGCCCAATGCTGATTCAGCAATGAAAACACATTGAGGACCTCTAAACTTGACTAGAGTTGGAAGAATAAGCATTCCTAGAGCAGCACCTAGGTACATCCCCGAAGTGGTGAGAGAGACAGATCTGGATCTCTCGTGAGGGGGGACCCACTGCGCTAGAACGGTGTGGATGGAGGGGAAAATAAACCCTTGTGCCACACCAACGAGGAAACGAGCAATGACCAGAACCATAATACGGTTCGTGTCGAGAGGAACCAGTGCGCAAGTTAACGACCAGAGTAGAAACGAGAGAAGCAGGACCCTCCTGCCTCCGATTTTCTGAGCTGCCCATCCTCCTGGAACTTGAGAACACGCGTAACCGTAATAGAATGTCGAGAGTATCGCGCCTTTGCTCGATTGGTTCACTCCGGCCGCATCGGCGGCGACTGTGTACGCGATTGAGAACCCAACTCGTTCGATGTAGCAAACCGAGGTACAGATGAAGGTCAAAATCACAATCAAGTAACGCACGGGGAGGTTCATCATCAACGCCTGCAACTTGTACTAACTTCTAAGCATATCAATCGATCAATGGTCACTCACACGCAACACGTGACACACCTTTTTTTGTTGCCAATGTGACTCAACTCATGCCTCCGCGCAGACAACCGGAAACTGCCAAGCCAAAACGGCACCCTGTCTCCGCCGTTTCGTTCATCCTCAACCTAATAAACCAGAACAATTAAGTAAAATAATAAATAAACTAAAAATCTAAATCTCCCTAAGTAAACGCCCAGCCTGGCAACACCCAATTAATTTGGCAACCGGCAGATCAGTTGCTGTATTTTAATACTCAAAAGGGCAATGGCGTTTTTTTCAATTAAATTAATGCTTTATATACATCAAAGTTTATTTTAAAGATAAGATCATTGAATTTTAACCAATTTTAATATTGACAATTTAAGTCTAGAGACATTTACTTTTACTTGGTAAAATGTGAAAAGATAAGCAAATAGTTCAAAAACAATATTTTTATCTGGAGAATAAGATTTCATTTATGTCATGCTATTTTATTTATATTATCTTTGGGTGTGGATCATGAGCATAGCAGCACCAATTATTTAGTATGGGAGTGGTTAACGTAATAGAAAAAGAAGAAAATGTCATCAAAACTCTTTTATGTTTTTCTTTTAATTTTATTTCAATTTACATTCATGTGTAAAAATCAATTCTTCTGTATTGGAATTTGTTGTGATTCTATTGTCATATCTATGTTTAACTTTAGTTAGATCACGTTAAATTGATTTTAGTTACATGTGTTAGATATGATGTATGGACGATAGAGTGTTCAAGAATTGGTTAATTTTCTTTTATCGAAGGTATGGGTTTTTTTTTTGGATCCTATTGGGGAGGGTTCTAATTTTTGTGTTTGTGTATGCGGGTGGAATCTAATGTAACCTTGAGTTGATTTGAAATGCTGTCACAAAAGGAAATTCTCCCCTCCGCAAAATTCCTCTTATTGTGGCAGCTTTAAAAGAATTTTCACGTAACAAATTGAGTCTCACTAAATAAGCCTTTATGACATGATGATTTTAGGTTAATGCCCTTGAGAAAATTAAATCTTTATTTATCGAGAAAGTCGTATTTAACAAAATATTATTAATCTTAGCTAAGTAAAATAGTTTTGTTGAACTAAATTGCTTCATTTCTTGTTGGAGTTGTTTTTGCTAAGACGATGATCTATGTGATTATTGTATTTTAATTCACTTAACCAAACACGTTGTCTTAGCAAAAGTCAATCTTGTTTTAGGTACTTTAAAATTTATTTAGTATGACACTCTCACTTAGCAAAAACTTTCCTCTATGGTAGATGTATTTATATTTGTATAACAATGCATTTTTATTGAGTGAATTTATGAATTTGCTATAGTCAAGTTTTGGAAACTTGTTCAACCAAGCATTTTGGCTTAGCGAGTATTGGCCTTTGTCTTTAGGTCATTTTAATTCGCTTAGCAAGGATATTTCGCTAAGCGAATTTCCTTCTTTGATCTCCTTTACTTTAGGGAATTCGTTAAGTAAGAATTGTTCGCTTAACAAACCTATATGTGGTTGAATAATGATTTAGCTTCAGATGATAGTTGTTTGATGATTATTTCTTTGTTCCATGAGTTACAAAAAGTTATATGAATTTTGACAATGTTTAATGAAGGGAGGAAAACCTTCATATTCATTGTTGAGTTGTTGTTGAGTGTTGTAATGGTTGTTTGCATGTTTTTCAATGAGAGTTTAATTAAAAGGATAAAAATGGCTTGAAGTATAAGTATTTTGTTGAAAATTGTTTTTAGCATGAGATGTCTTAAGTAGGTCTCTATTGAGGAATCTTAGGCTCGATGAATCTATTATTATGAGAATTTTCTTTTAAAAAAAAGATGTCTCAATTGAATATGTTTTTTTAATTGAAAATGATATGGAGTTGACCAATCCATATTCAACACAAGGGGTTGTGAGTTGACACATAAATTGGGTTGCTTGGTGGTAGGGTGAGTATGGCCCAACCTGCCTTGACTCGAGGTTGATTTGGATGGGCTTGGACTTCGAAATTATACTTCATACATTTTTGGGATGGATTTAGGTTACATTTTGGGCTTTTCCAACCTGGTTTAATATGTAATATTCTCTTAAAAATTATAGGTTCTATTGAATTATTGTGAATTAATAATAAAATTTTATTTAGTTATCAATATTTTTTATAACATGGTCATATTTATAATGAAGTTATTTATTTTAAAATATATTATAAAATATAACTTTAAGTTTTATACTTTTTTAATTTTATAATTTAACTATACATAATGTTAAAACTAATATTAATATATTGCGACCAAGTCGAGTTGATCCAATCTCGTCCCATATATTTTTGGGTCTTGGTTTGATCAAATTTGGAGAAGGATAAACCTAGTCCAATCCAACACATGTTCACTCATGCTTGGTGAGACTCCATTTTGGTGCTCAATGAGTGTATTGAATTTGGAGGATAGGAGGTAGTCTAATTCCATTTAAGATTTGATTAATGCTTATCAATGTTGTAGTAGGTTCATACCTAAGAGTCATTATATCAGCTAGGAAATGCATAATCTTCTTAATTCATGTTGGCAATGTCATGTGACCAAATTGTTGAAGATTCTTTAAGGTTGCGTTGAATAAGCTATTTGTTGCAGGAGATCGTTGTATTGTGGTGATGCATGATGTTGTAATGATGTTTTTGTTGTGTTGTTGTATTTGTTAAGCATCATGTAATTGCATAGTTGTTAATGATGGTTATGTTGAGATGATCGTTGGACAATATCCAAGTGATGCTGAGTGGAGTGTTGATTCATTGTTGTGTGGACAACGATGGTTGGACAAGGAAAAATTGATGTTTTTTCTCCTTTTGATGATGATTTGTATTTATGTGGAGAAAAAGGCAGACACTAGAAGGAGGGGTTAAATAATGTCTATCAAAAACTCACATTTTTTTCAAATAGTGAAATGGTAATAAAAACCATAAAGAATGCTTTATGAAAAGTTAAGAGACTAAACACAAAATTTTATACTATTTCATTTGAATCATCGAAACTACATCTAATTCTCAATCCAACTAGATTGGGTTTCACTATTTTTAACAAAGATACAATTATTATTTTCCCAAGCCACTTATGGCTTAATGTTAAATGTTCTTTGATTTACCTCTTCAAGCAACTATCCAAGTATTCTTTGTTTACCAAACCACTCCAAGCTTAAACAATCAAGGTTTTTTTTTTCAAACAAGTCTCTCTAAGCTTAACCCAATAACATACAATTATATCTAGATAACGTTTTACAAGTGTTGCTTCGTCTTACAAACAAAACATGATACAAAAAATTAAAAACAAAAGGTTTTACAAAAAGAATGTGAATAATAGGTTGTGAAAAATCCACTTCTTTCTAAGTGTCAAGCCTCTTATATAGTAGCCTTGATGAAAATAACTGCTGCAACACTTTGAACATTCCTCACAAGTTTATTTTGTTTATCTTCGTCTCTAGTTCCTTGAGTGGCGAAGTATTTATTGATGTATTAAATACTTGCATTAAATGCATCTTATCAAAAAGTAACTTATTATCTAATCAAGGAGACTACTTCTCATCTTTTAGGTAGTAAATGGATGAAACAAAACATGTGTTAGCATTGAGCAGTTCTAAAACAACTTTAACTGGCCCTTTTTCATGATTACAGATATCCGCTTGTCCTATTCTAATGCAAAGCATGTCTTTATTGCTTTTTAATAGATTAGGAGTTCCAAGGAAGCTTTTAAGGTTTGATCAGTTAAGGAATCACTCAGATGCACAACTTCATTGTTAGACATTGTACTATCCGTACTGCGTAACCGAGCTCCGAGCTCGGCATCATAACGCAAGCCGACCTCGGACACGCACTGCGTGACATCAGCTCGGTACTTAAGCGAATCATAACTGATCCCCGAGGATCTCGCCTCGGGCGAGGTCCGTTATCTAATTACACCTCATCGCAGAAGCTATTCACATTGGCATTTTTAAAACGCTTGCTCGACTCTAGGAAAAAAATTTGACCAAATATGTGTTGCGACTTTAAGCAGTTTGTAATGTAGTGGCATACCCGCCAACAAAAAAAATATGAGGATCGTACCACCAACCACCATATTCATTTACTTCCCAATGTTGCCCCAACCAATGTTCACCCATACCGCTATCCCCATTACCAAAAGTGCAGAATTGAATGGCAGGTTGGCGAAATGCTTTGTTATGGCTTTATTCAACCTAGTAGTGGCCCTTTCTCCTCTCATGTGTCCTATGTCAAGAAGAAGGATAGTACTTGGAGGGTGTGCATCGATTTTCATGCCTTGAATTCCATCATTGTGCATGACCATTTTTCGCTTCCGATCATAAATAAACTTTTGGATGAACTTGTCGGTGCTTCTTGGTTCTCCAAATTGGAACTTCGTCAAGGGTTTCACCAAATTTGTATGAATATCAAGGATATCCCAAAGATGGCATTTCGTACTCACCACAGCCATTTTGAGTATCGAGTCATGTCATTTGGTTTATGTAACGCTTCTTCTACTTTTCAAGCAACCATGAATACTATTTTTGCTCCATTTCTTCGCAAATTTGTTGTTGTTTTCTTTGATGATATCTTGGTGTATAGTCGTTCCTTACAGGACCATTTACTACATTTGGAGCAAGTTTTTCAAACCCTTCACGATGACGAATTTTCTCTACAAAACTCCAAATGTCTCATTGGTCAACGTCAATTAGAATATTTAGGTCACATTGTCTCTCATGCAGGGATATCTCATGAGCCCTCCAAGATTCAAGCTATGCTAGAATGGCCCAAACCTTTTTTCGTATGCAACCTTCATGGTTTTTTGGGTTTAAGCGATTTCTATCATCAGTTTATTTGTGGGTATGCCTCTATAGTCAGACCCCTGAATGCTCTCCTTAAGCTTGGTAGCTTTCATTGGACTCTAGAAGCTCAAGTTGCTTTTAACACTCTTAAACGTGCAATGACTGAAGCACTTGTCCTGGCTCTTCCAAGTTTTTCATTTCCCTTTTATCCTTGAGACTGATGCATCTAGCACCGTTATGGGTGTTGTTTTAATGCAACAGGGCCATCCTATCGCTTATTTTAGTTAGCCTTTTTGCCCTCGTCTTCTTCGTGCTTCCACTTATATTCACGAAATCCACATTATCACCTTTGTTGTTAAGAAGTGGAGACAATACTTGTTGGGCCATCATTTCACTATTCTCACTGATCAAAAAAGCTTGAAGGAGCTT